ACATTCAGTGTGATTACTGAGAGGCAAGGTTTTATTTCTATAATTTCTTTGGGTCCTTTTTGGTGTTGTTGCTGCTTACTTTGGTCCATGCTGCTTTCTGTAGCACCTCTATAAGAAGGGCGTCTCTCAGTGTTTCCTGCAATGCTGGTCTTGTTTTCATAAACTTCCTTAGGTTCTTCTTTTCTGAGACTATCTTAAGCTCTCCTTCATATTTGATAGACAGCTTTGCTGGGTAGTGAATTCTTGGTTGACATTTGTGTTTGAGTGTTCGATACATATCATTCTACTATCTTCTTGCTCACATGGTTTCTCTTGAGAAATCAGCACTTAACCTTATTTGTTCTCCCTTATAGGTTATTGTTTGTTTCTCCCTCTTGTTTCAAAGAATTCTCTCCTTATCTTTAGTTCTGGTGATTTTCTTTTGGGGTCTATTCTGTGTGATATTCTCTCAGCTTATATATTTTCAAATTCTTAATTATGCCTGAAGAATTTTCTTCTAACAATTCTTCCACAACTTTTTCAGTGTAGTTACTTGCTTCTTCCTGTTCTGGTATTCTGATTATGTGCAGCAGGAGTGACATCCATTTCTGAAACAACATGCCTCCAGAAACTCTGTGAACTTTGGTAAATGTCGATAGTTGTAGAGCGGCTTCAGGCCTTTTGTTCATAGGTTCACTATGAGTCGTGCTCAACTTGAAAGCAATCAACAACAGCAATAACAACATTCCTCTTGATGGTGTTCCATATTATTCTTAGGTTTTCTTCTTTTTACTTCCTTTTTTATTCTGCTTTTTGTTCTAACAGATCAATGATGACTAATTCTATCTTCTATTTCACTGGTTGTGTTTTCCATCTCTTCAACTCTGTTCATGTGTCCCTCTAACATGTTGGCAGTAGCTAAAACATTGGTCCTCATATTTTGGATTGGGGTTTCTTGTTTTTCCAGAGCCTCTCATGCCTCATTTGTTTTATCTGCATTGTTTGCTATGTATAATTGTATATTGTATAAGAAATATATTGTATATTGATGTGCATACAAAATTCATATACATTGTCTCACACTTTCCTTCATTCACATTGTGTTTCATACAGTTGTTCCAATACATCATGATTCTTTAACCAAATATCTACAAAAACTTGGAAAAGGATAACAAGAAAGCCCTACACCCTATAAAAGAAATGAAATTCTAAAAATTAAGGCAAAAATAAAATAGGAAATTAAAAAAATGAAACCATCAATAAAATCGGGAGTTGGTTCTTCAAAAGGTCAATAAAAGCGACAAACCACTAGAAAAACTAACAAAGGAAAAGAAAAGACACAAATAATCTGAATAACCAACGAAAAGTGCAATTTCACAACAGAACCAACTGAACTAAAAGGGTTAACAATGTAATATTATGAAAAATTATACTCAAACAAATACAAAAGCCTAGAGGAAATGGACAAATACTTAGAACTCACAACCAACCTAAACTGACCCAGATTGAAGTAGAACATCTGAATAGACAATACATTACAAAACAAGAAATTGAACAGATAACAACTTCCAACAACAAAAAAATGTCCTGGACTAGATAGTTTTATTAGTGAATTTTACAAAACATTCAGAGAACAGTCACCAATTCTACATAAAGTATTCCAGAGAATAGAAAAAGATAGAATTTCCCCAGACTCATTCTATGAAGTAAACATATCCTTGATACCAAAGTTAGGTAAAGACATCATCAAAATAGAAAACTATAGGCTATTATTTTTCATGAACATAGATGTAAAAATACTCAGTAGAATCCAACAGTACATAAAAAAATTAATAATTCACTATGACCAAGTGAGATTCATAACAGGTATGCAAGGATGGTTCAACATAAGGAAAACAATCAGGGTAATCTGTTACATTAACAAAGCTAAGAACAAGAGCCACATGATTCTATCAATTAATGCAGAAAAGGGTCTTTGACAAAATTCAACACCATGGTCTGATTAAAACACTCAACAAAATAAGAATAGAGCAGAATTTTCTTAACATAGTAAAAAGTATATACACAAAACCAAGAGCCAAGTTCATTCTCAATGGAGAGAGATATAAGAAACTAGAACAAGAGATAACAGGAATTAGGCAAGGATGCCCATTATCACCTCTCCTAGTCAATATTGTATTGGAAGTCTTAGTGAAAGCAATAAGACAAGAGAAAGAAATAAGAGGTATCCAAATTAGCAAAGAGGAGGTAAAATTATCCCTATATATTAATGATATGATAGTATGTTTAGAAAACTCAAAAGACTCAGTGAGAGAACTACTAGACATAGTTGACCAATTCATTAAAGTGGCAGGATACAAGGTTAACATAGAAAAATCAAATTGGATTTATCTACAGTGACAAAGAAAATACAGAAACGGAGCTAATAAAAACAATACGCATCACAATAGTCAACCACAAGATTAAATACTTGGTAGTAAATCTAATTAGAAACACACACACATGCACACACACACACACACACACACACACACCCCTAGTCAAAGAAAATTACAAAACGTTAGTACAAGAAACAAAAAGAGACCTGGAGAAAAGGAAGAAAATACCACATTTTTGGGTAGAAAAACTCAATATTGTGAAAATGACAATTCTAGCAAAGGCAATCTACATGTTGAATGCAATCCCAATACAAATACTAATTCCATTCTTCAACAATGTGGAAAAGGCAGTTTCAAGTTTCATCTGGAAAGGAACAGGACCCTGAATAAGCAAAGTACTCCTTAAAAAGAGAAACAAGGTAGGAGATATTTCACTCCCTGATCTCAAATCCTACTATACCGAGATGATGATCAAGACAGTTCCGTGACAGACACATAGGTCAGTGGAATAGAATTATGAACCCAGAAATCAGTTCATCTACGTATGCTCAACTGATTTTTTTACAAAGAAACAAAAATCAATTAAGTGGGGAAACAAAAACCTCTTTAACAAATGGTGTTGACAAAATTGGTAAACTACCTGTAAGAAAATTCAAGTAAGACCCACACCTCATACCATAAACAAAAACCAACTCAAAGTGGATCAAGGACTTGGAATAAAACCAAAGACCACAAACTTCCATCAGAGAAAAGCTTGAAAGAACTCTAGAAGCTCTAATCTACAATATGAACAGTCATTCAAGCATCTTAAAATAAAAAAATTTTTAAAAATCTCCGAACAGGAAGGAATAAAATAGAAAAATGGGCACTTCTAAGAATCAAATGCCTATGGCTATCAAAAAACTCCACCAGCAAGGTAAAAAGATAAGCCATAGACTGGGGAAAATATATTTAGTAATGACATATCTGACAATGAACTCACATCCAAAATTTATAGAATACTCCAGCACCTCAATATGAAAAAGCTAAACAACTCAATTGCAAATGGGTCCACGATATAAATAGATATTTCACCAAACAAGACATTCAGGTGACAAACAAATACATGAAGAAATGTTTAAAATCCCTAGTTCTCAAAGAGATGCAAATAAAAACAACTATGAGAAGCAATAACATCAGACTGGAGACTGAAATGTGCCTGATCGAGGCCATAGTCTTCACAATTGCGTGCTATGCATCAGAGTGCTAGACAATGACTAGGTATGATAGAAAGAGAATTGGTGCCGTTGACCTGTGGTGCTGGAAAGAGTATTGAATATACCATGAACTGCTAGGAGAATAAACAATTTTGTCCCAAAGAGAGTAAAACCAGGCTGCTCTTGGAGGCAAGGATTCTGAAGCTTTGTCTGGCATACTTTGGGCATGTTGCAAGGAGGAACCAGTCCTTGGAGAGGGACATCAAGTTTGGGAGGGTGAAGGGGTAGCGTAAGAGAGGAAGACCCTCAATAAGATGGATTGATTCAGTGATTGGGGTAGTGGGAGTAGGTGTGTCAAGATGTAATTATGTTGGCACAGGATAGGGCAGAGTTTAGGACTCTTGTAAATAGGGTTGCTATGAGTTGCAAGTGACTTGCCAGCACATAAAAACAACATGAGATATCATCTCACCCCAACAACAATAGCAACGTTCAACAGAGCAGCAAATAGCAAATGCTGCTGGGGTAGTGGGGAAATCAGAACCCATATTCACTGCTGGTGAGAGTATAAAAATGATGCAACCACTATGGAAAGTGGTATGGCTCTTTTGCAAAAAGTTGGAAATATGAATATCATTTGACCCAGCAATTCCATTACTAGGAATATACCCACAGCTGCCAACCAAACATGTATATGTATAACCATGTTAGTTGCTTTGCTATTCACAAAGGCAAAGAGATAGAAGCAACCTAAGTACCTATAAACAAATGAACAGATAGAAAAAACTATGGTATATTTACACAATTAAATACTACACAGCACTGAAAAACAAAGAACAAATAGAATATTACACAAGAAGGTGACCTTCCAGAACATTATGCTGAGTAAAATAGTCACAAAAGGACAAATACTGCATAACACCACTGTTATAAAACAAGATTAACATGGGAGTTGGGGAGAAAAGAAGAAAAGAAGGGATAAATAATAAACATTGCATTTGGAACAGAAGAAGGAAAGAACTGTTTAAAAGAAATACATGCGTAGGCCTTATTTGCAAGACAACAGTCCAGAATAAGAGGTGCATAGCAAAGTGGACTGTGGGAGGAATGGAGGTGAGGAGGAAATTATGCAACAATGAAGGAGTTATTTTAAACATGTGAATTGAGGGATAGGGAGGAAAACGTGCAGCAATGCTTGAATGAAAATCTAACTTTTCAGTAAACTTTTGTTAAAATCACAATAAAAAAATAAAATGGTAATAAAACAAAAAAGAAAAGAAACCCAGGAACAGGCCCACCTTGGTCACTTTCATTTGAGGTTAATCACTTAACCTATCTGGGCTTCTGTTTTCTCACATAAAAATATAGGGCAGATGGTCTTTTACAATTCCTTTTCACTCTGACATTTTATGGTCTGCCCACATTTCTCTGGTCCTGTGAAGCTCACCATACATCAGATTGAGTAGTGAAGATACCATCCATCAAACTTTCGGGAGCCATCCACCGAACAGGAAGCAGGCCTTCTCCTCTCTTTCTATAATAATCATTTTTATAGATATCCCTTGCAAGTCCGAAGTCTCCAATCTTTACTGTCCGTGATGGACTGATGTAGTCTTTCACTGAGACAAGGCAATTCCGAGCTGCCAGGTCCCTAGGGCAGAAAGCATATTTACTAATGATCTTAATTAAGTTCTAAGGATTAAGCAACACTAGAGAATCTATTGAGAAGAAATATTTTTACAGATATAATTGCTGCTTTGAAGGAATTAAAATGTTTAATTATATTTATGTGTTTTACCTGAACTACAGGGGATCATTGTGCAATTATCCATAATAACTTGGTATCCAAAATATCATCATACCTGTGAATGAAGTGCATCTGCTCCAGGTAGACACATCCTTTTGAAATATCTACACATATGTCTACAAGGTCAACCAAGGTGAGTAAAGGACCATGAAACTAAAAGAAACAAAGAAATAATTATATTTTACCATATATATATATATTATTACTTTTAAACAGCATTTTAAATTTATGTTTGAGTATTCAAACAAAATGGTAAAGAACTAAATGTATATGCTTTTTGTCTAGATGGGAGTGGTGCTGTTAACCCAAAGAGAACATCTCTCTGGTTCATTCAAATTCATCAGCAGCTCTTAAGAGGAAAGTTGAGTTGTCTGTTCCTATGCAGTTTACAGCCTCCTAAAAACCCACTGAAGGGCCAGCTATTCTGACTCCACATCAGTGGAAATATTTTTGCCCAAATCCAGACAAATAAATGCAGACAGTATTTAGTGAGCAGAGACAGAGTGTCAGTATAAGGTCTTTTTTGGAAGGATTTCAGGATGTCAGGTCAGATATCCTAGTTGTGTGATCTAAGTTGCTTAATTCACCAAACAATTCTACTCTATGTTAAACAAGAATCCTATTACTGACTTTGCAGGATAATAATGCACGTAGGATAATTGGTGTGTAACTCTCATTGCCACTGAGTCAGAACCAACTCATAAGAAGTAACAGGCACCTAATGCAGTAGCTGTTGTGGAGTCTGTATTGTGCTGAGCTAGCAACCTACAAAGACCAGCATTTCTGGTAATTCAAATCCACCAGCAACTCCACAGGATGGGCAGTCTTCTTCCACTAGGAGCTCATGGAGGGTCACTATAAGTCTGAATAAACTCCGTAGCAATAAATTTGATTTTGAGAATTTTCCTAAGTAGTAATAATGATAGTTTACTTAGTACGTATTAGTTGAGTACTTGGCCTGATGATAGTCATGACAATGACTTGTTCGTTAGATAAAACTCAAATAAATTGTTGGCAAGACTCTATTCCAAGGTCACAGGTTACTTATCTCATTTAAGAGAGACAGCACAAATACGTAGTTCCGTCTATACTGGTTATGATGATTTCTAGGTGGCAAAATCCAGGTATAGGTTTTGTTAGGATAATTTTTAAAAATGCACATTTTCTGCCCAAAGGCTATATTCTTATAATGTACAATTCTAATTCCTGACAGTTACTCAAGTTAGGGTCTTTATCATCACTAATTTGAATCATCCAAAACCTCCTTTTCCTAGCCTCTTATGCTCCATTTCCAAATTATTCTCCCTAAGACACAGCTTTTTAAAAAATTTTAATAATTTTAATGAACATTTACAGAGATTTTGGATTTCCATTCGTTCATTGCTGTACTTCTCTCCCCGCCCAGCCCGTCTCCCCCCACCCCTTCGCTCCTCTCTTTCAAAAGTAAAAGAAATACTCCCTCCCTGGTACACAATCCCCCCGCACCCCTCCCACCGCCCCAAGTACATTCCACTATGCAACCTTAATTGTGGACTCTTGTGATAACCACCTTCTACTATGCAACCTTAATTGTGGACTCTTGTGATATCAGGGTTGGGGTAAGACTGAGAAAAACTGGATAAATTGTGTATACGGCACTGAAACAGATGAAGGAGTGAATAATTTAAAAGCGATGTATGATAGGGTATTATGGTTATCATAAGACACAGCTTTAATTAGCTCATTTCCTTGATGCTCACACCTGTAATTCCAAAAGAAATTCCAGAGAACGGTCCCCAGTGGCCCTCTAGGTGAGCCAAGCTCTCTTGATATCTACCACGTCCCATTGGCTCCCCTCTCATAATCCATGCTTTACTCACATTGATCACTTGTTATACTTTACTATTGTTCTGCTCTTCTCAATTTCTTTATTCTACTATCTCATTTTTCCTGAAATTCCCTCACTCTTGATCCCCATTCATATACTTCATTGAGTATCTCAAAAAGTTTCCAGCAGCTTCTTGCCACTAAGCCACCGGAGCTCCCTTGTTAATCCTAGTTGCTTAATTTTAAACTTAACAACAACAACAACAAAAATAATCTTGTTAGTATGGGGGTCATGATTCCCACTGGTCCTGTTTAACCACATCTAAGTTTGCTAGCTAGGTTCCGACCTTCTGTCCAAGGTTCAATACCCCTTCTGTCCTAATCAGGTCTACTTGACAGCTGTCCCATGGCCTGTGTCTGAGGATTTATTGGGTATCCAGACTCATTCCTTGGTTCCTGTGAGAGTGTGACCCTTTTTTGCTCTTGGAAAAGCCTATTCTACACTTGATGATATTTTCTTGTCTTAAAATTCTGCTCCTGGTGCCTAACACTCTGCTCCCATCAACAGATTTTCATAATACTCTCAGTCTTCCTGTCTACTAGTGATGATAAAGACCCTAACTTGAGTAACTGTCAGGAATTAGAATTGTACATTATAGGAATATAGCCTTTGGGCAGAAAATGTGCATTTTTAAAAATTATCCTAACAAAACCTAGATCTGGATTTTGCCACCTAGAAATCATCATAACCAGTACAGACAGAACTATGTATTTGTGCTGTCTCTCTATCACTTTTCTTCATATCTCCTGCAACAATGGTGTGTTCACCTCTTAGTATAACCATATCTCCTGGATTTCACATGCCACCCAAGGATTTAATCTATCCTCTCCTTGCAAATCTTGAAGACATACTCAACTTTTATTTCAGTCTATTCCTTAGTTAACACCTTCTATAGTTCAGTGTTGGGGGTGGTTGTTGTCAAGTTATCTCCTACACACAATGGCCCTCTATAAAGCAGAACAAAGCCTGCCTGAAACAGCACTGCCCTCACCATCTCTGGCTGAAGCCTACTGTTGCAGCCATTGTGTTAGTCAATTTTGTTGATATCAAAACTCAACTCATTTCCATCAGAATCAGCTCAGAGATGACCCTCTAGCAGATATCTAAAGCTGTAAATGGTGGGAAGGAGACCACTCATCTTTCTCCTGATGAGGCGCTGATGGTTTCAGACCAGCAGAGAGGCTCAGCCTTTGGGTTAGTAGTGCAACTCCTTATGAACTGCATCACCAGAGCTCCCTTCATTGAGGGGAGGGTTTCTATTTGTCTTAATCCCACCTAAGAGACAAATAATTATTTATACAGAAGTTTTCTACATTCAGCCAAAACTGCAGGTTTTTTTAAATTTTAAAACTTCAATTTTTACTGCTACCCAAGCAGACATATGCACACAAATGTTTATTGCTGCTTTGTTCACATTAGCAAAGAGATGGAAACAACCTAAGTGCCCATGTGGTATAATCACACAATGGAATATTATGCAGCACTGAAAAATAAGGAATTAATGAAATATTGTACAAAATGGGTGACCATGGAGGACATTATGCTGAGTGAAATATCTCAGTCACAAAAGGACAAATACTAAATAATGCCATTGTTATAAAAGAGGAGTCTGACATTGGGGTAGAGGGGAAACTAAGAAAAGAGAGGATAAATAATGTACACAACATTCAAACAGATGAAGGAGAGAACTATATAAAAGGAATATATGATCAGGCATTATTGTCATGACAAAGGTCCATAATAAGAACTGCATAGTAAAGTGGACTGGAGTGGTGTTTGTGGTATGGACTGTATAACAAGGAATGATTTTATTTTTCCCGAAGAGAAAAATGAACTGGGGTGGGGGGAGGGAGGCAGGGAGGCAAATGTACAACAATGAATGAACTGAAATCCAAGTTCTCTATAAACTTTCATTAAAATCTAAATAAAGAGAAAAAGAACTAACCAAAAACTTTGAGAAGGACAAATGAGAAATTAATAAGACATTTAGAGCATTTGCTTTACAAAACCAATATTACAGAGCTTATTTCCTCATTTCCTACCTTTGTCATGCGTGCTTTACGCAAATATGTAAGAAGGTCTCCTCCTTCCATCAATTCCAAGATAATGTACTGAGGTTCATTCATCAGACAAACTCCAAGCTGCTTCAGAATGTTGGGGTGATTAAACTTGCTAACATACAGAAACGACAAGCAGCATCACATGACAATGACAAAAATGTTACCAGGAGCAATTCTTCATCCTCAGTTTCCTTCAAAACCTCTACTTTTTTTCTCTAATGAGACAAAGTCCCAAGCGTTTTTCCAGGCATTGCACTGGTCTGTATGTTTGCATTAAGGAGGGAATATGGCAACCCCTAGTGGCCAAGCTGTTTTTAAGAAGAAATAGCATTTATCTTAAAAATTTTATGTTTTGAAAAAGACCATAATTTTTAATAATATCTTTCTTTAAAAGACATTTAGAAGAGAGGAGTGAAGGAAATGGGAAAGATCCACTGTGAAAAACAATGTACTCAAACTTTGTAAATAAACCAGCATTAATTTTTTTAAAAAGACATTTTTAATCTCATTAATATGCTATTGCGTTATCTATCTTTTAAAGAGCTTAAAAATCTTTGTCTTTAAAAAGTACCTTCTCTAGTACAGACCTGTTTGTCTTCCTGTCAGTTCATGATATGTTCAATATTTTTCTCCAGCCCCACAACTCAAAGGCATCAATTCTTCTTCTGTCATCCTTATTCACTGTCCAGCTCTCCGATGCATAGAAAACACCTGAGAAGCCATAGCCTGGCTCAGGTGCACCTTAGTCTCTAAACTGACACTGTTGTTCTTTAGCACTCTGGAGAGGTCCCTGACAGCAGACTTTCCTAATGCAACTCGTCTGTAGATATCCTGACTGCTGGTGCCAAGGATGCTAATTGTGGATCCAAGCAAGATGAGATCATTTTCTTTCTTTCCTCCATCTATTATGATGCTGTCTACTGACTTTGTGGTGATGATTTTAATTATCTTGATGTTAACATGCCATTCATATTGGGCATTTTTCAAGGAGGAAATAGTCCTTGGAGAAAAATATCATGCTTGGAAAGGTAGAGGATCAGCACAGGTGAGGAAGACCCTGGATGGGATGGGTTGACCCAGTGATTGTGGCAATGGATCAGACGCATCAGAGATGGTGAGGTTGGACCAGGACAGGGCAAGGTTCAGAGCTGTTGTTCATAGGGTCACTATGAGTCGTAGTTGACTATCAGTACTTTATAATAACAACATTTTAAAGAAGATATTGTTTCCTATGCATCTGAAAGTTGGACAATGAATAAAGACCAAAAAAGGATTGATAACTTTGAATACTGGTGTTGGAGAAGAGTGCCAAATATCCAATGGATTAACCAAAGAACAAACAGGTTTGTCTTGGAGGAAAGGCAACCGGGGTTCTCTTTAAAGGCAAAGATAGTGAAACTTTATCTCATATGCTTTGAGTATATCATTAGGAGGGGCCACTCCTTGGAAAAAGACATCATGCTGGGAAAAGCAGAGAGTCAGTGAAAAAGAGGAAGGTCCTCAACAAGATGAGCTGATGCTGTGACTACCACAGTGGCCTTGAGCGTAACAGACAGCATGAGGATAATACTGAACAGGCCAAGCTCTGTTGTTCATGGATCATTGTGAGCCATAGTCGACTCGATGGCACCTATCAACAATGCCAACAACACACAGTAGCTCAGTACTGCCCTTAGCCTTGGGTCTTCTCTTTGAGATGCTCTTGCAGAGTTCTCAGGACCATAAGATGAAACTTTGCAGACCCTAGCTATTTTCACTGGCATTGTTCTAAAGAAAATATGTTCTATACAATGAAGAGAGCACAGCATGTCTAAAACGAACAACTTCAGAATTTGAATTTACTTGTAAAATATAACGTCTCATTGAAGACAAAAGAGGAAGACTTTTGCCTAAACACTATCTACACCCAAGCTCAGAACACTGACAACTAAAGAATACATGTGGCTGCATTCGTATTTCTATTTTTAGCCTTGTTTGGATTTGGTGTGGGCTATTATTTCAGGTCATTTTGGATCTGTAATACTTCCTATTCCTACTAAGGGAAAATGATTTCAAAATTCCCCTGATACCTCATCAGATGTGCCTCCTTCAGGAATTCAATCTTCTCCTGATCAGTGGAACCTTTCTTTAAAGTCTGTGCAACATAAAAACAAGTCAGGAGTCAGTATAGAAGACATTTCTGGGAGCTCAGTGAGTTAACAGTCACAATCTTTGTTTTGTTTTATAATATCCACCACCCCCAAAGCTACTCACAGATAATTCATATTCATAAAGAAGTCTTTGACTGATGCAAATTGTTAAAGGTCCAACTACATCAACAGAAATGTTGGTGATTAACAAGAAATGCCTTGGAAGACAGAGTTAACAATATTTTTCCAAAGGGTCACAGATCTTATCAAGCAGTTCTACATTGTACACATGGTAATGAACAACAATAATATCATCACTACTGTTTATGTAGGAAAATCTGCTAGATAATATATCTGTTAATATTTGCATAAAGGTCCACCAGAATGTAAACATTTTTAAAAGAAACTAAGCTTGAATTTTAGCTCAGCTTCTTAATTTTCAATATTTTCTGCCTAATAATCTATTTTCTCATATCTTCTTATTCATTTTTTCCTTATAGGAAAGTACTCAGTCTTTGGCAGTTTATCTAATCATGAAAATCTTGCTCTATAATTTCCCAACCTCTGCTGCAAATAGTAATAACCACATGACTAAGTTCTGACCTATGAGATAAAAGGGGGAAATAGCTGACTGGAACAGAGGTTGGTAGAAAACTTTTTTGTTTTACTAAATAATACTTTCCCCTTCTTTATGGCCTAAGTTTAGAAATGCCATCTTTGGCAGCCATCTTGAGACCATGAGACAATGAAAATACGCAGAACATGAAGAGAATTATAGTTACTACCCCGGACCTATCACAGCCATAACAAAACCAGCAGTAACCTTGCATGTAAAAACAAAACAAAACAACAGTTGTTTACACCAGTCGAAGTTAGGGTAGCTAATAGTTTTAATAAAATTTTAGATGATCTAATTTTCTAGTTATTTAAAGAATTTACAAACCTATATCACTTGGAGGTTGAGGGAATGTTGCCAACATTTCTAGCTGTTAGACTCACCTTCAGAAGTAATATATCCCTAGCAAACTATGATTAATATATTACTCAATTACATAAAAAGGTTTATGTAATCTTCCCTCTATCAAAAGAAATTTTTATAAAAATAAGAGTGTCTATTCCATGCTTCCTAAAAACTAATTGCTGAATGAATACATAGGACATGTGAAATGATGACCTTTCTCACGAGCTGAGAATTTTTTCTGCTTCTTAATCACTAAAACCTCAAAAGTGGAATAATATAAAACATGAAAATCATATGAATTAAAATTTTATTGTTCATAAATAAAGTTTTCTTGGAAAACAGTCAAACTCATTCATATATGTACTTTCTATGGTTGTTTTTCCACTACAATGATATAGTTGAGTAGTTGCAAGACAGGTTATATTGCAAACAATCCTAAAATATTCACTCTGTTTATTTAATAAAAGGTTTACTGATGGAAACAGAGGGATGAGGATGGGGAGGTAGGGTGTTAATCATAGGGTTGTACAATTCAATAGGTAGATGAGGTAAGGAAATGGGAAGGTTCTTTTGTGGAAAACAATGTATTCAAACTGTGTAAATAAATCAGAGTAATACAAAAAATTAAAAAAAAAAATACAAAAAATTTTAAAAACTTAAAAAATGTTTACTGATACCTAGTGTGGTCACTGAGTATATGTTCTACAGTCCCAGTTCTGCTGGAAGTTTGAAGTGGAAAGCTCTCTACCAGGTCTTAATTAATTTATAGCTTTTGAGGTAACATACTCTCTTAAGATTTTCTATAAATTACAGGACCTATGTAGTGTGTGTGTGTGTGTGTGTGTGGTGTGTGTGTGTGTGTGTGTGTGTGTGTGTGTGTGTGTGCATGTGTATTTGTAGTGTTAGAGAAGAACACTGAATATCCCATGGATTGATAAAAGAAAAAACAAATATGTCCTGGACAGGATACTGCCAGAATGCTCCTTGGAGCCAAAGATAATAAATCTTTGCCTCACATATTTGGGGCATGTTGCTAGGAAGGGCTATTCATTGGGGAGGGACATGATGCTGGAAGGGTGGAGGGTCAGCGAAGGAGTGGAAGACCTTCAGCCAGGTGGTTTGGTATGGTGACTGCTGCAATGGCTCTAACATGTCAGGAAGTGTGAGGACAGCACAGGATAGAACAGGGTTCAGATCTGTTGTTGATAGGGTCTCTATGGGTCATACTTGTCTTGATGGCACCTAACAACAACATTTCAAGATAGGGAGTTCTGGTGGCAAGGTCTTAAGGGAATTGCACTGCTAACCTAAAGATTGTACCTCCAGCGGCTCGAATTCACCAGCGACTTTGTGGGAGAAGAAAGGAGGATCGGTTATGAGTCAGTTCCCATTTAACAGCACTGTGTTTGAGTTTTTTCAGTTTATGCACAAAATTCAGGGTAGGGGAGGTGATATCTGTAGTCATAAGTAGGCTTTTACATTCTACTAGTCTTTTTTTTTTTTTTAACTGGGATTACTCACCTCTTTTTATGTTTGAATCCAAATTCAGCTGCTATATGCTGACATAACACTTCAAGGAGTTAAAACATCCACCCTACCTTGACTGCCACTTTGGTTTCTCCACTTCCAGGTCCTAAGATATCTACTGCTGTCCCCTCATACACTTCTCCAAAGGCCCCACTTCCCAACAAGAGACGCAGGGTCAGTTTTTCCCGAGGAAAGGCAGGTAGTCTTTCAATCTCATCTTGGGTCGGAAGAGTACTGTCAAATAAAAACATTTTTTTTATTAAGACACATAAGGCTTTCAAGTTTATATTTGTGTTTGAGAGACAAAGGGTGTGAGAAAATGAGAAGAATCTCACTGCTTTGCAGCGTTGTGGTGCATTCTGTATGAGATAGTGATATGGAATTGACATGTATATTCCTTCTCCATTCTATTATCTACAAGAGACCTTTGAAATTTCATTTTTCTCAAATTCTGCCTCCAGGAAGATAGACCATATGAACTGAGGCACACACAGCAGAGGTTGTGAGGATGGCCCAGCATCAGGCAGGGTGTCTATCTGTTGTACATACGATCCCTATGAGTTGGAGTTAACGGCACCTAATAATAATGCTTCATTTAGTATTTACCTCTCTGCTTCACTTAGTTTTCAGCATGTGACAAAACACCAGAAAACAGAGCTGATTTTTCTTCATTTCTTTTTTTTTTTTTTTTTTTTTTTTTTTTGTGCATGTACCGTCAAATCAGATCTGACTGGTACAGAAGGAGATTGTCCCTCCTTCCCCGGCAGAGCATCTGGTGGGTTCGAACTGTGTGCCTCTGGGATTGTAGTTACAGTTCCTTGCCACTAGGCCACCAGAGCTCCCCTTCTTCATTTCTTTTAAAATACGATAGTCATACAATTTGTCATCTCTAATAGACTATGTCTGAGATTAAAGAGGCATGATTAATAATTTTGTCAAAGTAATAGGATTAACCCAGAACCAGGAGCAACAGCTCCTTGGAACTCCTGACACAGTCACCTAACCCATGGCCTAGGTGACATGCAGGGCTAGCCCGGGTTACATACTGTATGGCATAGCAGGCATTCGCCAGTCCTACTCCAGCTGCCACACCTCGCAGCTCGGCCAGCTCCTTGTCTTCGTTTATGAGAACTGCCAGGCCTTCCTTGGCAAATTTCTGATTCTTTAACCTTCTGTGCCAGACTATAAAAAAGAAAATGACATAACTCACAAAATAAAATGCTGCCTGCTTTTTTTTTTAGAAAATATAAACAATACTTTTAAAAGTTTATTTATAAGAATATTATTGGTAAAATAACAGCTATTCATAAAAATAATTCCCATATAGAAAAATTAATTCAATCTAGGTACAAATTCAAATTCAAATTTATGTGTTTTTATAACATGTAAATTACACCACCTCACTGTACATCTTTCCTCTCAGAGAATTTAACATATTTCCTGTTATTTTAAATAAGTTGAAGTACTATAATATTAATTTATTTCTCCAAACCAACTGTAAACTAGAGTCTAAATAAACAAAAACAAATTTTAATAATAATCATTAGTGAAATAAGTTTATTTCTGAACTCACAGCTGCTGTCCTAGTTATAGTCTTCTGTGGACCTGAAGAAATGTTTTCAATATAATGGCATGTTAAAATATATATATATATATTTTTTTTTCAAATGGAATTCCATCAGACAGGCACAAAGGGAAAAGTCTTAAAAGTGCTTTTGTTAATAAAAGTTTTCAGGCTTGAAACATTCTTAAACCTCTTTTCCTTGTTGAAGGCCTGGATTCAGCCCACTATCCTTAGTGATGCCTTCTAAGACCACTACAATCTGCTGATCTCTTATCTCTGAGTTTATGAAACTGTGTCTCTCATCATTCTTCTATTTCATCGTCTTGTACATTTAATGTACCAGGGCCTTTTATTATGGTCTAATGCATATCTAGCTATATGTCCTTTTACAGAGCTATGTCTCACACTCTTGTTCAACCTCTTTAAGATTAGCAGTTCTGTTTTATTGCGTTTTATTTCCCTCACTTCTCAACATAAGCCTTATGTATCAGGTAGGATCACTCACCAGAGGAAAAGCTGTTGATGCTTATTTTTAAACCCATGTTTCCGTTTTTAAGTATGACTGTTGAGATCCCTTACCATAGTGCAAAATTTGAAAGAATACCTACGTTTTAATTATTTTAACAACTCATTCTTGTCTCATGCACTCACACACTCCTACTAGTCAAACCACATGCACTGCTATTAAAAGCAAAGGACTGAATTAGCTTAGCTAGACTAAAAAATCCATGAGTCCCAAACAGAACAAAGACCTTTTAAGTCCTGAGAAAATCAGCTATCCAAAAGATGTCTTGGAGGCACAGTAAGTTGTCTGAAATTATCTCATGTTCATCCACTATAGTTATGAATTCAAACAATGATGATGAACAAGGAAAGCAAAGGTCAGATGAAGGATTCTTCGTGTAATTCTCCTTCCTGGGAGTAAAACAGACAAGCAGGCAAGCCTATATGCCAACTGCCAAATATACTGCAGTCATATGCGTAATTCTGGAGGGGCTGGCTTAGTAGCACAAACATCAGCTGTGCGATACTTAGACTCCCTGGAACCACAGGTTAAAATCCTGGCAGGGTCAGCTGAAATTTTTAGCTTTCCGAGTTAGCTGAAGGAGTTCCACACATTATCTGAGTGGAATCTTTGGAAAGAAATCTCAAATCAAGTTTCAACATGCTCTCTAAGAGCTTATGACTCCAATTAGCTTGGAGGGGGGAAGAATAAATTAGATTTAGCACACTTGATGAAATCTTGGCTTGTTTTCTTCTGAGAGAGTTCAACTTCATGTCTGTAACTTTTCCCTAAACTTTCTTTTGTATCTTTCTTTTATTCATAAACAAAACAAGCCCCAACTTCCTGAGCATGTGCTTAAGAGTTCTCTTCAGACAAGTGTCATGCTTTTCTTGAAACGCTTCAGTGTGTCAGAGATTCTTAGCCGTAATAATAGACACTATTATTGTTCTTGCGTGCTTTGAGTCAATTCCAATTCATAGCGACCACATGTGACAGAGTAGAACTAACCTATAGGGATTTCTTGGTTGTCAGTTTCACACAGATTGTCAGATAATTCTCCGAGGGAGCCACTAAGTTTGAACCACCAATCTCTCAGTTGATAAGTGAGCGCTATTTTACCACCAGAGTTCCTTTAGGAACCATATATTTCATCAACCAAACCTAGATATTTTGTGGCTTGAAAGTAAAACAGCACACATAAACCAGACTATGGAAACCCTGCAGGCCTAATATTTGACCTCTTTAAGGGTTTTCACTGTACCTTCTGATTAAGCTAAATCTTATCAATAAATTGTTGTTGCTTGCCTTTGCGTCATAGTGTCCCTGAACAAAAGGTCTGAAGCCCCTCTACAACTACCGACATGTATCAAAGTTCATAGAGTTTCTGAAGACATGTTGTTTAGGAAGTGGGTGCCACTCCTGCTTCCAACCAGAGAGGTGTGGTGAACTCTTTCTGGGGCCAAAAGTGGGAGATCAGATTATTGACAGAGCAGCAGTCATTGGAAGCTAAGTGCTTGGTTGTCATATGTAAATAAAAATAAGAACTCTTAAGACTAACACATGGGTATAATATGAATAGTAAGAAAGAACTATCTTTCTATAAATCTAATTCAATTCTTCTCTTTTCCTGACCATTTGAAACAAGCAGTCAGGATCTGAAATAAGATCAGATATCTAAAAGCATGTGGCTCCTATGGAGGCCCTCTCCTTTCAATCCCAGGCTGTCTCCCTTAAGACCAAAACTATACTGATGAAGGGTATTCATAGCCTCTCATTAGTTCTTCAATTTTTTAAAAAAATCCAGGGTCATTGTTCTCTTATTTGTCTCAATCAACAAATCAATAAATACTTGTTATGTAGCCAATCAGAAAGAAACATTTTAAAAATGAAGCTAAAAGTAGGTAGCCCGGTAGATAGCTTTATATACAGAGCATTGGTAACCTAGTGGGTCAGAAAGTTTCACTGCCAACCCAAAGGCAGAGAGTTCAAATCCACAATCTGCTACAAAGAAGGAAATTGAGCAATCTCTTCTTACGGCCTCTGAAAACTCACTAGATGGTCAGTTCTGAATTGATTTCAGCTCAATGACAAATAGTTGAGATATTTTCATATATATATATAGATCTACATATCATATCTATGTATCTATATACCCATATATTTATATCTATCTATCTATCATCTATCTATCTATCCATCTATCTATCTACCAAGTAAGCCCTAGTGGTGCAATTAATAAAGAATGTGGCAGCTAATTAAAAGTCAGATGTTCGTTTTTCCATTTCTTTAGGTCTTTTATTGTGTCTTGCAGAAATGCTCAGTAGTTTTCTTTATATAGGTCTTTTGTATGTCTAGTTAGGTTCATTCCCAAGTATCTCAATTTGTGTTGGCTATTGTAAATGGTATTGTGTTCTTGATTTCCTTCTCTGAGTTCTCTTTGTTACTGTAGAGGAATCCTGTTGATTTTTGGAGAGGCAAGAGACCCCAAATAAGCAAAACACTTCTGAGAAACAAAAATGAGGTTGGAGGCATAGCACTCCCTTATCTCACAATCTACTACACAGCAGTAGTAACTAAAACAGCATTGTACTGGTACAATGACAGGCACATAGAGCAATGGAACAGAATTGAGAATCCAGAAGATATTCTACAAGGAAATAAAACCTATAACATGGGGAAATGATAATCTCTTCAACAAAGGGTGCTGGCAAAACTGGATTTTCACCTGCAGAAAACTAAATAGGACCCACATCTCACACCATACACAAAAATTAACTCAATGTGGGTCAGAGACCTGGAAGTAAAGCCCAAAATCATAATGTCCATAAGAGGCAAACTGGGATCAAGCTTAGAAGCACTAGTCCAAGGTATAAAGAGACTGCCAAATACAACCAGAAATGCACAATCTGAAGAGGATAAAATTGATGCATGAGACCTTCTAAAGATTAAATCCATGTGTACATCAAAAACTTTTTCCAACAGGGTGAAAACAAAACCTACAGACAGGGAACAAACATTTGGTAATACCATCTCAGACAAGGGTCTTGTAACAAAAGTCTGCAGAATACTCCTGGGCATTCACAAGAAAAAGACTGATACCCCAATTACAAAATGGGAAAAACACATACAAAGAATTTTCATAGAGGAAGATATTCGAATGGCAAACAGACATTTTTGAAGAAATGTTCCAAATCACTGGCAATAAGAGAGATGCAAATCAAAAGCACAATGAGGTATCATCTCTCTCCAGTAACAGTGGCAGAGTTTAACAAGGCAGCAAGTAATAAATGTTGGAGAGGCTGTGATGAGAAAGGAACTCTTATATATTGTTGGTGGGATTGTAAAATGGTATAACCATTCTGGAAGGCAGTTTGGTGCTTCCTCAAAAAGCTGAACTTGGAAAATTCCATATGACTCAGCTATTCCACTACTTGGAATATAGCCTGAGAAATTGAGAACTGAAGCACAAACTGAGATTTGTACACCAAAGTTCACAGCAACGTTACTTACCATCACAAGAACATGCAAACAGCCCAAATGTCTAACCATAAACAAATGGATTGAGAAATTAAAGTACATTGACACTATGCAGAACGCAGGAGCAAGGATTTTGTAAAATAATATCTAACTTGGAAGGGACTGGAGAGCATTATCCTGAGTGAGCTAACTCAGTCCCACAAGGTAAATATTGTGTAAAACCAAGAGGGGTGGGATAGGTTGGAAGCAGAGGGATGAGGATGTGCAGGAGGAGGGAGTAATTAATCATGGAGCTGTACAATTTGGTGAGTGGGGGATGAGGGAAATTAAAAGAATCTGTTCTCTAAAAAAATGTATTAGAATTTTGTAAACAAACCAGTGTAAATTTTTTTTTTTTTAAACCAGAGGTTCAAATTCACCAGTCACTGTACAGGAGAAAATAGGAAGGATTCTGCCTATTTCTGTTTGGAAGCAGGAGTGACATGCACTTCCAGAATAGTTTGTCTCTGGAAACTCTATGAACTTGGAGAAACAATGAAAATTATACAAGTATTCAGGTCTTTCGTTCATAGGGTTGCTATGAAGTCATCTGTGGCTCGACGGCACTTAACCACAACAATTGCCTCTACAAAAGATTTACAACCTTGGAGACTCTATGAGCAATTCTACTTTATCCAACAGCATTTCTGAATCAAAATTGTTTGTTTGCCCTATAGGGTTTCTATGAGCCAATGGGTTAGTTTGTTCAATGTGTACACCATAAAATGTAAATACAGATATAATTTCCATAATGTAACTATCTCTAAATGAGAAAATAAAAATACACAGAATTTAGTGGTTGAGAAAAATATAGCCCAAACTGAATTCTACAAACAGTAAGTCTTTAATCAAATAATGTTTCATGTAGAGATTAAACTAAAAAGTAAGTCAATCATTATGATCATCTGAACAATTTATTACTTATTTTTCAAAAAAGCTTACTTACCAAAAGACAATGGGATTGTGACAATCAGAAATATCCCAACTATAACAGCAAGTATAAAGCTGATCTCTGGTTGCCAAAAAGCATCTAATGAAATAAATTAGGGGAGGAAATTCAGAATAAAACTAGATATTCTCAGTTTTACCTATGGAGGGTGAGCCAGAGCTAGCCTCCATCAGATTGTCATAAACCAGTTGCTAAATTGTTGATAGATTGAAATCAGCCAGTAGAGTATGTTATGGGAAATTGAAACCAAGGCTTTCCCGCTTGCAATCAGCTTTGCATTTCTGCTGTTGTCAGCATACCATTGGATTATACCCATCCGATCCTACTTTAGAGTGACAGAGGAAACATGTCATCTTTCTAATTCATTGGAACAAAGATTTCTCCAGTCATATTTTTACAGCATCATACACGTATTTACTAGAGAATATAAATACAAAAACATAGGACTTCGCTTTCAGTAATTTCTGACTAGCAGAGAACACAAATATATAGACAAAGGCTTGAGAAACTATAACATAGTGGATCAAAAACAGCCTTAGCCCAATTTGAACCACCCAGTAGCTAAGAATAACTCTTACATGTTTTCAATGTTATAAAGAAGAAGAAAAAGAAGCAGTAGCTACAGAGAATCTGTGTAGCTCACAAAGTCTAAAACACCATTTGGCCCTTTGCAATAAACTTTACTAAGGACAGAAACTTTATGTTGAATAATGGACTATTGTGTGTATGTAAAATGTAACAATTTACTTTTCCAAAAGAACATAATTTAAGCATCATTATTAAGGAGTTTGCTGTGTTTGTTTAAGTTAGACCATGAAGGCTGAAAAGACTTTTGTCAAAATATGAAGGAAGGGAAACTTCAGTTGAAGTGGGAGCCACTGTCCAGGGTGAAGGAAACACAGCACCAAAGACCTAGTGTCATGAGAATTTTCACTAGTCTTACATGGCTGCAGCATTACTCACACGTGAGGGCATATTGTATTGCTGTTATAGACTCTCAGATAAGAACTGATCCATAGCTCACTCTCCAGTAGTAGTAAGTTGCACAGAAGGTGACTGCCACAAAAGTTTGTACTTAACTCTGAAGGTGGTGAATGGAAAACCTTTTCAGATATATCAGAGGAGGTTTGATTGATTCATCTTGTGCTCCAGCTAAATTAACTGACAAACTAATTACTAAGTTAGTAAATTAAATAAACTGTGATTAGAGCTAGAATGCAGATGAGAAATCATGGTTTAAGTTAGCATAGGAAAGAATGCCAGAGTAGAAAGGAGGAGACAGGAATTTGCTAGAAGAAAATTGAAATGGTAAGATTAACAGAACTTGATGGCTGTGGAGAGGGAAAAGTCAAATACGGTACTGAAATGTATAGCCTATATTATTAGAAAGATGAATTACCACAAACTAAAATAAGACATATAAGGGAAGAGGTTGTTATTAACTATTGTTGCTTGGCCCTGGCTTCACAATTACCCTAGGAATAAACACTACTAGTCTGTGTTAATCTAGAAGTTCTGCTCTAACCTGCTCAGCATCACAGCAAAATGCAAGCTTCTCCTAACAGCATGGGGGTTGCTCATGAAGGGCACTGACCAGGGTCTGATCCCGGTCACACATATGGGAGGAAAGAATTCTACCACTGGACCACTGATGTCTAGATTTGAGGAAAGAGGCAGCAAATAGTTTTAGACCTATGGTATAGGAGGTGACAGTGGCAGAGATAGGAGAATAAGTCTGAATAGAGAAAGACCACGCAATGTATAGCCTTGGAAGTCTTTTTGGAAACATGGTCTTTGAGTGTGAAAGGCACAGCTTATTTACATCAGTTTGATTATTGTTGAGGAGGAAAATGACATAAAGTGATGTTTGAAGAAGATTATGTCAAAGAGATTGAATAATTCAATAGTTTGTATGATAAATTACATGGTCACCCTACCTATTGATAATGTTAAGAATGTACCAATCTTGTCACTGAACCTTTGTGTGATAAATTAGTGTGTAGACAAATGTGGTAACATACCTCCAACTAATGTAATATTCTCACTTATCTCACTATATTCTCCAAAACCAAGGTTATTTGTAGCTACTACTCTGAATTGAAATGTTCCTTTCAGATTTTTGGATTTCCATATGCAAATACTACTGCAGGATCCATTAAATGCCACCTTCCACTTTAAATTCTGGTTCTGTGAATCATTTGAGGTGCACTTTCTGCAAAAGAAACAGTAAAATAATAAATATAGACAATGCAAGAGACAATATGTTTGTTATTTTCAGAGGCACATATATCATGATAATGACAGAATTCTGAGATTCTCTTGTTGCACACTTTACCCTTGATCTCATTCCACTCATGACTTGGCTACAGAATACAGCGTGGTATTAGAAAGTCATTCCAGCAATGCATGGGACCAATAAACTCACTAGGAAAATAATGACTTATCAATCTTCCTGAGAAAGCTGAGGATATTTTTCCTACTCTTAGAATGTGTACATTTTCCTAATAATTCTAAATTCACAATTTGTAATTGGGAAGTATTATTTTTTTATTTCTCAGTCATTCATGACATCTATTATTTACTTATGCCATAGTTGGGTAAAATACATAGTTGGATAAAACACTAAATTGGTAGGAAAGATATATGTCAGCTACTAAAATGATCTTTATGTCTCAGATCACAAAATTCTGTGTTTCCCTTTTTTATTGGTTGACATTCCAACTCAAAATAGAATTATAGTGGTGTTCTGTATTGTCAAATGAAATTCTACATTATGGAATTAATCACTGAGAAATATTGTTTGATTTCATTGACTCTTTATAATAACCTAAGACATCATCTTAGTTTAATGGATGAGAAAACTTAAGTTCAAAATAAAATACATAAGTGCCAGGAAACTAAGGAAATCTTGACTAAAGAGTTTATTTTGAGATACTGTAGTTCATTCTGTTTGTCAGAGTCTAAACAGACAGAATCTGTCAGATAAGCCAAGCCTTGGGGCAATGAGTATACAGGCATTAGATGGAATGAGACATTTATTGTGTTACCTGGTTGTGGGGTGGTAGTGATGTTGGTGGTATTGAAGGGGGGGACAATAACATTATAGGAAGCACAGTGAGAACAGTAATGAGGCCTGGACAGTGAATGCAGTTACAGTTACCGGACACCAAGACACGTCTGTAGTACAGGTAGTATAGCTGAGAAGCAGGTTCTGTACTTTCGAATTTGTCCACTCACTAAAAGGGAGCTCTGGTGGCCTAGTGGTGAGGAACTGGGCTCCCAACCCAAAGATGCCAAGTTTGGATCTTCCGACTGCTCTGTGAAAGAAAGGTGGGCAATCTCCTCCCATGTGATGTACAGCCCCTAAAAACCTGCTGAATGGTTAGCTATGAGTCAGTTCTGCGTTGGCAGCACTTAAAAACAACAATCACTAAGATTTTTTTTGTAACTTTAAAATAAGTCTTTGTATTTTTGCAATAATTAATATACATATGTACAGAAAGGAGAAAAACGTGGCGGGCCAAATGTGCATGTTCTCAACCGGGGAAGAGCAAGGCTTTCTGCTTTGTTGTTGCAGCTCTCTTGTATGTTGAGAAACTCTTGTGGTGTAGTACTTAATGTGTCAGGTTGGTAAGTAAAAGGTGAGCAGTTCAAATCCACTTATTTCTCTATGGAAGCAAAATGAGCAGTATCCTCTGAAAAAATATTTACAGCCTTGGAAATCTAATGGAGTCTTGCTAGGAGTCAGAATCAACTTATTAACAGGGGGGCTTTTTGTTTGGGTATTGTATATTGGTAAGATGGTCTGCCACCATGTCCATCCAGGTCACTAAAGCAGAGGCCATGGGACCAGAGCATTCTCTGATGAAGACTTAGGATCTGGGTCTACCTCTCTCCTAGTTTCTCCTACTCTTTAGAAGAGCCTCCCTCTCTGTTCTGAATATACAGTAATTTCCTCTGTCTTGCTCATGTTCTGTGCACCTGTGGCACCTGGTCAACTCCACTTCTATCTCTGCTGTTAGGAAGGAATGATCTTGCATCTGTGGCCTAAGAAGGGTATGTGCACAACACCTGCCCTGCTTAGGCCTGCGAAATGACTTACTGGCCGTGGGGGACCAGTGCCCATAATTCAAGCTGAACTTGAAATGTCTCTTTATATGACTGAAGTGTTATTTCACGGCATATGTGTCATTTGTGGCTTTTTATTGACAATCTAGTACCTTGATCACTAATAAGAGTTGTGGGGTTTTTTTAAAATTTTATTTTTATTGATATTTAAATGAAAGTTTATAGAGAACTTGGATTTCTATTAATTCCTTGTTGCACATTTTCCTCCCTGCCCACCACTCCTCCCAGTTCAGTTTTCTCTTTGAAAAAAAATTCTTTCATTGTTGTACAATCTTCCCCTACCCCAGTCCACTTTACTATGCAGCTCTTATTCTGGACTGTTGCCATAGGAATAATACCTAATCATATGTTTCTTTTAAAGAGTTTTTTCCATCATCTGTTTCAGTGCTATGTACATTATTTATCCCCTCTTTTCTTAGTTTCCTCCCAACCACCATGCCAGGCCTGTTTTACTAACAGTGGCATTATGCAGTATTTGTCCTTTTGTGACTGAGATATTTCACTCAGCATAATGTCCTCCAGGGTCACCCACTTTGAATAATATTGCATGAGTTCCTTGTTTTTCAATGCTGCGTAGTATTCCATTTCTTTCAGTCATGATTTAGAGTGCTGTTGGGATTGAGTTCAATAATAATGATTCAACATTAAATATAAATGTGTGGTCTTTAAACAAAAATACATAAACCCAAGTTACATATTAATATGTTGATAAAGACACTGTGACCAGAGGGTTAGAGGATCCTATCCCAAAAGCAAATATTCATTATTCACTAATTCAGTGTCTGTACAGCAAGTTAAACCCAAATCAAACCTCCTACCCTTTAGTCAGTTCCTACTCGTAGCAACCATTGATCGGGCTTTTGAGGTTGTAAATCTTTGCAGAGACAGTTGGTCCTCTTTCTCCCACAAAGAAGCCGGGAGATTTGAATTTCTAACTTTTCAATTAATCGTCCAACATGTTACTCACTTAAACTCCTAGAGGTTCTTTTGATAGAACTTAACTACCTTGAGTAATGAGAATCAACTGTATTTCACTCAGCACAAGAACAGTAACAGACATTTCAAGAAGGTTTCAATTAGAAATAAGGAAGAGGTAATTCTCAAACATAAGCAGGAAAATTTTTTAAGGTTATAGGAATGCCAGAGCAAGATGAAGCAAAAATAAACCTAAAGCTCAAATTTCCAGGACTATAATTATGGAAATGACTTTTGTCCTTGGAACTTCTTAAAAGGTGGTTTCATAGTCCCGTGAGGGGAGTGTCTTGGAATTTGGAATTCTCCCTTCTAGTTGGCATGAAGTCAGTGCCTCTGCGCCAGTACAGTGCAGTCAGCTCCTCATGCTGACCCAACCTGCTGTCACATGTGTCCATCAGTAGTATACTTTTCATCAACAGCACATTTTAAGAAACTGGGAACATACCACACACCATTGTGTAAAAACTCTTATGTGACCTACACATTTCTGACTAGTCCAGGCTTTGATCTAATTTTACATTTAAAAAAAACATTTAGTTCATTATCTGTTTTCATTAGACATTATTCATCTTGCAAGAAACCAAATTATTATCAGAAAAATTTTGTCCTCTAACACTAAATTTCCTGAGCAGAGTGGTTGTTAAGTGTTAATTATGTGAGCCAATCATTGAATGACTGCTCTCCACCAAGTTTTCATGAATATCACTGTTTTTTAAAAAAAGAATAGTATGATCTGACCTCTAGGAATTGAGCAAAAAGCATAATGGTGTAGCCAAGGTTTTTCCAGATCTTTTTTTTTTATTTAGAAATACACTTTCATAATGTTGTTATTAAATGCCATCAAGTCAAATACAAGTCATAGACACCGTATAAACAACAGATCTGAATCTTGCCCTCACCTGTACCATTCTCACTATCTCCGATATGCGTGAGCCCATTATTGTAGTCACTGTGTCAGTTAATCTCTCTGAAGGCCTTCGTCCCTCTCTCTTTGCCAGCATGATGTGTTTTCTCAAGGACTGGCCCCGCCTGATAACATGCCCAAAGTATGTGTACTTTCAGAGACATTGATAATTTTGATCTGTAAATTGTTGTGTGCCATTGAGTTGGAACTGACCCATTGCTGAACTTCTAGCAGGTTTTCAGAGGCAGTGAATCACATAGGAGATTGACCGTCCTTCTCTTGTAGAGCAGCTGGTGGATTCGTACCATGTGTCTTTGGTATTGTAGTGAAAGTTCTTACCACTAGGTCCCCAGAGCCCTAATTTTGATCTAATAGTACCTTTGGAGCTCTGGTGGCCTTGTGGTAAGAAGCTGCACTGCAATCCTGAATGTGATTCACTTCCTCCAAAAACACGCTGGAGGCCCAGGTAGAGTTAGTCCTGACTCAATGGAAAATACAGAGGCAACTCGTGGTTGCTGTGAAGTAGAACACTGTGACACTGATGTGTCATATGGGATAATGGTTACCCATGGTGGACAGTGTTTGGTGATGCTCCCCTATTATAACAACCTTGGAAGCAGAAGTGTCATCCACTTCCGAAATAACTTGCCTCTGGAAATCCTATGAACTTGGAGAAACAATGAAAGTCATACAAGTGTTCAGGTCTTTTGGTCATAGGGTCACTGTGAGTCATCTACGACTTGATGGCACTTAACAACAACAATAGTGGTAAGCCATTGTGCTGTCAAGTCAAAGGCAGGTGGTTTAAACTCACCAATTGCTTCATGGGAAGAAAATGGGCAGTCTCCTCTAGTGTAACTTACAGCTCTGAAAACTCACTAGAGCGACACCTATGAGTCTGTTGTAACTCAGTGGCATATAATAACAACAGTGCTTTAATAATGCCTTACTGCTTTGCACTTTCGGGAACTCAGATGGCATAGTCCAGAGTTGTGTTGCTAACCCAAATGCTGTGCCGCTCTGGTGGTTTGAATCATCAGTGGCTCGCCAATAGAAAAAGAGGCAGTCTCCTCCCACTGTGATGGTTAGAGTCAGAATCGGGAGGCAGGTGTGCCTTGAGCTGAAACTCACTCAACAGCTCTAGGTGAATGACTTAATGAGCGGCTAACACTGTAGTTTAGAAGTACTTGTTGCAAACAGAGACATACCTGAGCTCAAGGATATAGTACAAAAGTCTGCTTCCATTCTCTTCAGCCTGTTCCCAATGTATTGAATTTTTACTCCCTTCTAACAATTTTGGAATGCCTGGTTTACTTGGAACTCCAGCTTTAGGAATAAAAGAGAGTACTGGTTGAAAGCTCAGAAATAGAAATAGAAAATATTCTCCATTGATGTCTTTCTACTGAATATGTCTATTAAAAGGAAGCCAAATACTTTAAACAAGTATTCCATAATATCCTCATCTCGGTATGTATTTTTAATTATGTGTCTGAAGGGTTTTTAGTGATAAATTAAGTAGACTACTGATTGAAGTCACGCTGTTTGAATCCACCAGCTGCTCTGTGAAAGAAAGAGGGGCAGTCTCCTCCCGTATGATTAACTGTCTTTAAAAATTTACTGGAGTCTCAGCTATAGATTGGTTCCAACTTGATGGCATATAACAACAAGGTAATGGTTCCAACTTGATGGCATATAACAACAAGGTAAGTTTTTAAGCATTTTCCTTTGATTTTTGTTTCAAAGGATCAACTTGGAGTTATGGTATAATGTTTACGCCAATACGTAATATACTTCAGAATTTTTTTGCATCTGAAATGTAAGTCACTAAGTAAATATTTAACTCTTAGTATTTTGAAGTTATCCAGATGTGCAACTGCTAACTGAAAGGTAGGTGGTTCAAACTTGTCAGCTGCTTGGCAGGTGACTTGAATCCAATGAGTTTGGCTTTAGTAACACCATTTTCATTCCGTTCTAACTGCAAAATGTCATTGCAAAATAGAAAATCAGAAGAAAAAAATTCCAGTTCAGAAACTAGATCATTACTATCTCATTAGAAGATATTTCTTAGAAAGACTCTTAGTGGTTTCAAATTTCTTCACTCAAATAAAAAGCATAATAATTTTGAAACTCTTCATTTAAAAAAATTTCAGCTTCTAGGATTGGTGATATAAATGAGAGAAGACATTTACAGGTGAAGTTCTGTTCATCTTAAGCATAGCAATACTCACCCTTTGTCTTAAAGCTTTCAGGCAGTGAGGTACTATTTTCTCCTGTTATATAAACCACCACAACTCGGACATTGTATGAAGTATAAGGTTGTAGATCTGGGATGTTACAGTCATATGCAGGGCCTTGACTGCAAGAAGCTTTCATTTGGTAAAATTCATTGTATTTCCACTAGGGGGGAAAAAATTTCTATTAACATTCTTCTTTAAGAAAATGCTCTTAAATATAGAAATCCACAAGCATATGACCCATGTTTGATTAAATTTTAAATTACATTTACTTTTCTTGAAAACTAATATCTTCTTTATGAATTTTTGAGCCCAAATATATTCCCCAGGACCTGTAACCATTTTATCATGTTAAGATATGACTAAATTTGTGTCACTTCTTAAGGTAAATTACAGGTAAGTAGGACATTCACCTTAACTATCTCTCATGCAGAGATACCAATTGTAGATGCCAACATTAAATTAGAATGTTTAGGAATGTAAATTCTCAGCTGAGCGACTTTTACAGATTAGCACAATAACACCTTCAATTCTAGAGATTTGCTAATTTCAAAGTAATAATATTTTGCATTATTAAGTCCACTGTGACTTACAAAAAGTAAAATATTTTGTTTTCCCTCCCAATATCCTCTTCAGACATGTGATATGTATATATATAATAATTATAGATTATATTATAATATATATTATTATATATGTATATATAAGCTGTATATTTTAATGCTTAACATCATTATTTGAAAATGGTAGGTTGTTTTCCCACTCAATATACAAAGAGGAAAGATAAAAGATGTGACATTTTTGGCAAAGATTCCTGGTGTGTTTTCCTTAGTAGAGTTTCCTTGGAAGGTCAGTTTCCATAAATAAACTTTACATCTCCTTTTTCATTTAGCACTCAACAAGGTCAAGTCATTTCACCAGGCAGACAGTTTAAATTGGAAAACATATCATTTTCCACCAGACAGTTAAGGGACAAGGAGATAGAGCCTTCCAGTTGAAATGTATCTAGTTCCTTTATATTGGTTTTGGAATTACTGATTCTCTTTAGTATTTTTAGGAAGTTGACCACTATGTTACAAAACGAAAGAGAACAAAGGAGTGGAAAGAATTAAAAAGATAAAAATAGAAATGCCAGTGTTGGCCACTGCCTACTTCATACTGAGAAATCTATTAATCTTATTGGACAGAGTCAAACGAAACAGAACTATAAAACTGAGTCTGAACTTCCTTTGAGAGAAAAAGGAAGAAGAGAGAGAAGAGAAACAGGTTGACTGAGTGATTGATTTAGTTCAGTTTCAAAAAGTACAGCTTCCCAAGTGTCCATCAACAAACTAATGGCTAGAGAAGCTTTGGTATATTCACACAATGGAATACTACACTGCATTGAAAAACAAGGAACTCATGAAATATTTTTCAAAATGGGTGACCCTGGAGGATATTATACTGAGTGAAATATCAGTCACAAAAAGACAAATACTGCATAATGTCACCATTGTAAAGCAGAACTGACACCGGAGTTGGGGGGAACTAAGAGGGGATAAATAATATATACTGCATTGAAACAGATGAGGGAGAGAACTGTTTAGGAGGAATATATGATTAGGTATTATTGTCATGACA